GCACCCACCGGGGCTGGGGGTGCAGTCGGGGGGGTCCCGGGGGCCCCTCGGTGCAGCAGCACCCCGGGGGTTGGGGGGGAGTTGGCGGAGCCGGAGCGGGAAGAAAGCGGCTTTTGTCCGGGGGCTCTGAAACCTCGCGGGGGCCGGGGGGGAAATTTGCTGCTTTTCTGATGCTAATGAGATGTTAAAAATAAGCTCCAGCGCGGCGCAGCCATGTTGGGGCTCTTCCAGGGCCGCTCGGAGGCGGGTGGACAAAGCGGCTTTTTATGGGATTTTTTTTTGGGGTGGGAGAGCAGCGAGGGGGTTGCCCCGGCCCTGCCCCCGGGCACGTGGCTCCCCCAGGGGCACCCACCTCGCCCGGGGCACATCCCGGGGTGCAGCATCCCTGTGCGGGGCTGGGAGAACCCCAAACCCTCCCCGCTCCTCTCTCCCACCGGAGCATCCCACCCATGGGAACATCCCATCCCTGGGGGGAGAGGGACGGGACCTGCATCATTTCAGCTCCCACCAGCCGAGAAAAAAAAAACCAAGAGGAGGCTCCAGATGCCGGATCCCGCCTGGAGTGTCCGTCTGGCCCCATCAAAGGGCCCTTTGTCCCCGCACAGAGCCCCGACCCGGGGACTGTCCCCGCGGGCAGGGGGGGGACACACACGGGCAGCCCCTCCCCATGCCAAGAGCACAGGGACGAACCCCAAAAACCTCCCGGCCGCCGCAGGGATGGAGAAGGAAGAGGAGGAGGAGGGATGAAGGCTCCCCGGGGCCGGGAGCCCCTCCCCAGCCCCATTCTGTCGCTCCGCCGCCTTTGATCTGCCAAACTCGGGGGCGTTCAAAGCGCCTCGGAGGAGGATTTGGGGGGCGTGGGAAGGGGGGGAAGCACCGCACGTGGCTCCCGCAGCCGGGGAAGGGGCTGGGGAGAGGCACGGGGGGGGATGTTGGGGGGACACGGGGTGGATCTGGGCATCTCCAGCCCTTGGGGCCTCATCCCACCCCTCGGGGATGCTGGCACTGGGAGCACTGGGATCACCCCGGGGGGGTCACCCAGTGCTCCCCCTGATTTTTTGGGGGGCGCTGGGAGCACCCAGAGCTCTCTCCGATGTCTTTTTTTGGGCACTGGGACACGGTGGGAGCATCCTGACATTTTTTCTGGGCACCAGGAGCACTCGAGGGGGGGCACCCAGGGCTCCCCCCAACGTGGTTCTGGGCACTGGGAGCCCCCTGATGTGTTTTGGGGCACCTGAGTGGGCACTCAGGGCTCCCCCTGATTTTTTGGGGGGCACTGGGAGCACACTAATGTGGTTCTGGGCACCAGGAGCACACGGGGAGGGTGTGGGGTGGGGGGCACCCCAATGTCTTTTTGGGCACTGGGAGCATCCTGGCATCTTTCTGGGCACCAGGAACACCCCGGGGAGGGGCACCCAGGGCTCCCCCTGATTTTTCCGTGGCACTGGGAGCATCCCAATGTCTCTCTGGGCACCAGGAACACCCCAGGGGGGCCACGCCACAGCTCCTCCTGAATTTTGGGGGGCACTGGGACCACCCAGAGCTCCCCCCAAACATGTTTCTGGGCATCAGGAGCACCCCAGGAAGGGCCCCCAGAGCTCCCTGTCGTGGTTTTGGGCACTGGGATGCTCCAAAGGGGACCCTGGGGGTGGGGAGGGGGGGGTCACTGCCTCAGGATCCACCACACATCAAACACCCAACAACTTCCAATTCTTTTATTTCAAACCCCTCTCTCTTCCCACCCAAAAAAAAAAAAACAAAACCCCAAAACAAACCCAAAAACCCAAACAAAACCCCCCGAAAAAACCCCAAACCCATCAGTCAAAACGACGCTAGAAATGAGTTACAAACACCGAGTCAGCTCTCCCTCACTGACCACTCAGGGGGAAAAAAAAAAAAACCCACAAAAAAACACCCCCAAAATCCCCCAAATCCAGGAATTCCACGCCAGCTTCCCTCCCCCAGCACCTGCAGCAGTTGCCACCGTCCCCCACGAGAGGCCAAACATGCCTATTAATACAATATATACAGACAAACCCACAGGTACAGCCAGGCTCCCCCTCCCCACCCCCAAAAATAACCAAACACACCCAAAAGTGCATTTGTGGTTTATATATCAAAAAACCTTATTTTCCTTTTTTTTTTTCCCTTTTTTTTTCCTTTTTTTTTTTTTATCTGAAAGATTGGCCTGCAAGTCTGTTTGGTTTTTTTTGTTGTTTTTGTTCTTTTTTTAAACCATTTAGTAACTTTTTAATATAGTTTACGAAAATAAATTATACAGCAACTATTTTAATAAATTAAGCACACACCAAAAAAAAAAAAAATTAAAAATGGAGGGGGGAAATAAAGATAAAATTAAGCAAAGCTGCATTTTTTTGTTGTTGTTGTTGTTGTTCTACCCAAGGGTGGTTCCACAGCTCTGCCCTTGGAGCTGCCAAAATCTGCTCATTCCCTCTCTAAAGGCAAGGCTGGATCCAGTGTAATTCCTATTTTTGGGGGGGGACTGAAGCCCTGGATGGGGTGGGGGGAGCACTGGGAGCATCCCAGGGGGGCACTGGGAGCTCCCCAGTGTGTTACTGGGCACCAGTTGTGCTTGTTCAGCTGGAGGCACAGTTGGAGGCAGCGCTGCCAGGACCCCCCCTGATCCCAAGGGATGTTTGGGAAGGGGGTTCCCACCTGCCCCACCTCACCTGGAAGACTCTGGATGAGGAGTGAGGGGCTTGCTGGGAGCATGTGGATAAATCCCTCCCTTCCCAGAGCAAAGGGAGGTTGGAAAAGTGGATAAATCCCTCTGTCCCCAAAAGCCAAGGAGGGTTTGGAGAGGTGGATAAATCTCCCCGTTCCCAAATCCAAGGGGATCTGGAAGGTGGATAAATCCCTTATATCCCCAAAAGCCAAGGGGATTGAGTGTGGAAAAGTGCATAAATCCCTGCATTCCCAAAGCTAAAGAGGTCTGGAAGGTGGATAAATCCCTTTGTTCCCAAAAACCAAGGGGATCTGGAAGGTGGATAAATCCCTTTGTTCCCAAAACCAAGGGGATTTGGAAGGTGGATAAATCCCTCCATTCCCAAAACCAAGGGGATTTGGAAGGTGGATAAATCCCTCCATTCCCAAAGCTAAAAGAAGTTTGGAAGGTGGATAAATCCCAGACCTCTTTTGGGTTTGGGAATGAAGGGATTTATCCACCTTCCAGACCTCTTTTGGGTTTGGGAATGAAGGAAGGTGGATAAATCCCTCCATTCCCAAAAGCCAAGGGGATTGGGAAGGTATCCAGGTGCCCCCCCCCAAAGCCCTCAGCCCTGATGGTCAATTTGAAGTATAAAATCATCCCAAGGACAGATTTTTAACTGCAAGGAATGAAGGAAAAGGGCCAGTTCCCTTCCTCCTGGAAGCAGGAAGGTCCTTCCTTCAGCAAATCCTACTTTTCAGAGGTTTTCCTCCCCAAAATACTCCCGGGATTTGAGCCCCTCAACCACCACCTGCATCACAGCCCCACAGGTCGCTGCTAAAACCACTTGCAGGGTTTTTAAAAAAACGCTTTTAGGGATTAAAATCTGGCACCACCACACCTGGAGCTTCCAAATCCATCCATTCCCAACCGCAGGAGCAGCCCAGGTGGTTCCCATATAGGACCAATCCTGCAAATCCAGCTGCAAACCCCAAGCTAAGGATAAATTTATCGAGCTAAGGATAAATTTTTCCACCCTTTTCTTTTTTTTTATTTGGTCCCAAGGAGGTGGAAACTTCCACGTGAGAAAACTTCCCTGGTTTATCCCAATTTTCCTCGCTGCTGGAAGGAGAAAGGTCATTCCCCACCTTGAAATAGGGTGTTGGGAGAGGAGGGGGGAAGCTGCCAAGCTGAGCACAGGGCTGAGGGCTGCCCCCATCCAGCTGGAAAAGCACAGAAAGGAGCTTTTCCACGGACAATTCCCGCGCTCCAGTGGGTTTTATGGTCCATTTCCCGGCTCATCCAGCTCCAGGAGCAGGACAAGCACCACCTCTGCACAATTCAAGGCTGGAGAAAGGGTGGTGATAAAATGTTTTTTCCCCACATCAGCAGGACGGGAGCAGCCTCCAGAACCAGCCTGCAAAATATTCCAGGCAGGATAACCCAGCCCCAGGGGTCCATTCCCCAAACTGGGATTGATGGGAACCCCTTGGAGCTGTTCCCCGTGCCCACAGAGCCCAGCCCTCACTTCCAGCCCCGGATCAAACCCTCTGGCTCATTCCCATGGATCAAATCCCTCGCTCCCCTCCCGCCTCCCTGTGCAGGAACAGCTTTGTTTTCCCTGGATTTCAGGAGAAGGCTGTTAACTACAGTTAACCTTGGGATCTCAGCCAGCACCACCAGCCACGGGCTGGGGCTGGCACTGACCTGCTCCAGCTTTTCCTGCCTGGCTCGGAGCAAGGAGAGGTGGAGCAGAGCCCTGGGAATGCTGAGGAGCATCTGCCACCTCCGTGGAATCCTTGGGAGGGGTCTCATTCCTATCCCACCCCTCGCCATTCCCTATCCAACAGCTCCCAGCATGTCCCCTCCATCATTTCAGACCCCAAACCTCCCTGCTGGCCCAAATTTGGGAAGAGTTGCCCCCCC